TAACCTCCTGATCACACTCTTCCCCCTGCTGGGTTGTGCCATAAAAATGATAAACCCAACAGTTATAAAGTAGCGACATTGTACCCCATCACACCAGGAAATGAGTCTGAACCACAAGTGACTGCTGCTCATTGCTGCTGTGCTAAAATTGCACCTGTTTTTCTTTGTTTTGCATCGCTCAGTCTGGCAGCACAGTAAAAATTGAAATGTCATATAAAATGTGACAGCATGCTAATATGTAGCTCCCAGAGGGCATCTGAAAGCACTGTTGTTGATTTTGTAACTGCAGAGAGAGTCAGTATTCCTCCCATTTTCACCCCAGGAGAACGGAGGAGAAAAAAACCCATTTGGAACAGCGAGGAGTACTATGGAGGTGACACAAATTAAGTTTCAAAAACCTGTACAAGGTTTAAAAACAACATAAAATCATTACTGCATATTACTGCAACATTGAAAATGTCACATTTAATTTTATTCAGCTACTACATGAAACAGATCCACGTTTTAATTAATAAGATTATAGAAATATTTTTTTTCCACAAGCGACAAACATCCAATTCTGCTTATAATAGGAGAAAAATATGATCTAGTGACTGAATAAAGCATCATTCAGTAGAAGCTTTTTAACTGGCCTTTGCTTTGTGATGCTTCTGAAATATAAAAAATTGATGTATAAAAAATTTACAACTATGAAAAGTACATAAAATAAAGAGTAAATAAGAGTAATAAGAGTAGATAAATAACTGCAGTACTTCTTTACTCCAACTAAAGGTAGGTAATGAAAGTAATTTAATTTAATCAAACCAAGAGTCTTGAAGTCATGAGGGAAACATACAGACACCTACTCAACCTAAAGCATCAAAATAAAAACAAAGGTTTTGCTTTTTTCTTTAATAAAACCAGAGAAGTTTAAATACACTGACACAAGGACTTTCTATTTTTATTACATTATCTGTTATTTTTTAAAGATTCCATTATATTTCTTCGTGGCTGATGAGCATGTATGTGATTATGTTTATTTAAACTGAATAATAAATTATCAATCCCTACAGCAATTCCTTTCATTCTGGATCTATTACCAAGTCAAAGAGTTAAGCTGCACACTCAATTTTTTTATGCACATCAGTCACAAAATCTGTGCAAATAATTTTCATTCAGAAAAAAAATCTCTAGAAAATTGTATGCTTAATCTGAACAACAATTTTTGGTATGAAGAAATCTATTCTGAGGCAAGAGAAGACAAATATTATATGATTTTTTTTGTGATGTAAAAGAATTTATTATGATAAAATAATGACAAATCTTTTTTTTCCAACTACTGCAATAAAAAGAGAAGAAAATGAACTCTTAAAAGTGCAACTAGGCATTCTGTTTTTCAACTATTTATAAATAGTTGCCATAAATGAATTGTTTTAGCAACAGTCCAAATCTTGCAAGCTTATAAAAGCAGGAAGGAGCCACAGATTTCATAACTTAGGGATTTAATAAAGGCTTTTAGCGGTATTAGAAAACTGACCTAAAAAGGGACCTCTCTCCTTTCCTGGAAATGACGACATGAACTAGGAGCCTGCGTAAAAAAATGCCTCAGACAAAACGGGGCAACCTGGCATCTTGCCCGTGCCACATGAAGGAAGCAGATGTTCCCAGTTTTTATAACAGATCATTTATCCCATACATCTATTTCCCTCCCTCTCTCTTTGTTCAAACACATATCCGTTTAACTGAAGTAATGAGATGCACAGCATGTCCTCAGACACATGATAACAACATAAAAGCACCCATTTTGCACCATGTACTGCACCATACGTGTAACTAAATAAATACCTATCAGATTAGGATGAATCTTTGTGTTGCAGAAAAAAAAGAACCATATATGTGCTAAAGGTTGCCCCCATAAAGCCAAAGTCAAACTCTAGTTAAGACTGTCAGCTGATGGTGGGCCAAACACACACTTTGCTCCACAGTACTAATTAGTCTGTTCACCCACATCAAGGATAAATATACACATATATAAAGAAGGGTAAAGAGGCAGTGGGTTTAAAAGAAAAGTCAGTGATGGTGCTTATTTTCAGTTTGACCTCTGCTTAATGCCCTAAAGAGAGAAGTTTGTAGTGTTATGAGTGAACGTGTCACTAATGCTTCTGGTTGGCAGGAGGTTGCACGCCACTGATCATCTTTACCCATCTCCCTGCGGAGCCTCTCATCACCTCCACTGTGCCAACTACTCTATCAGGCTCAAGGTCAGGCTCAAACACACCAACTATCTCCTGATCACCCCTTACACTACCACCCGACCCCCTGCCCACCCCGCCTCACCTCTGTTCCCCTGCTCCTGCACTCTCCTTCCCCCGTCCTTCCCCGGCATCCAGCATAGCAGAGTGTGATGAATGGGACATTATTACTCTTGTCCGCTGTTGGCCTGATTTTAGCCACTCCGACTCATCTGCTTCTGTCTCGTCAGTCTGTCTGCGTTTCTGTCTGGCCTTAAAACATATGTTACTGCTTGACCTACCTCCAATCTATTTTAGTCATCCCGCAGTGAGGGCACATGCATGCTTTTGTAGGTTTAGGAAATGTGCATACACACGTTCTTCTAAACAAATAAAGCATCTTTATCTTGTAAGGAATTAAATGGGGTTAAATAAAATTGGATTTTTCACTCTCCAAACCTGACAAAACTTTGGGATGCCTTTTATTGCATATGCACCCTCAGAGACACACAAGCAATAGAGTCAGATGTAAAAAATACACAGTCTTATAACTTTGTTTTAGAAAGAAAACAATATGAATGAGGGTGCACAGCCACAAAGTGAGGGGATCACTTCTTCAAAAAGTAAATAAAATATGCATCCTCTCCGTGCTCATTACAGATTTATGACTCTTGTTAAAAGGAAAGGTGGCGGCTGCCTTCTTGCATGTCTGACTTTCAAAAATCAGACGACACTGCTGTCAAGTGTTGTGCTCCACATTCTGTCCAATGAGAGACCGGGAGGGCTGAGTGTATGCCATCTCCAACATCCTATGCAGCGAGAGTCTCACAGAGACTTACTTTTGGGTGGATGGGAGCACACCAGAAAAACTCCTCACCTACAGTAGGGGGAGCGTACCGTGCAATCCTTTGATGCATACTTCATCAATGGAAAAGTTAAGCTGGTTCAGCCACTTGTCTGTGTGTGTGATTAAGAACAATAACACTTGGGGGAGTAGACGTTCTTCCGTCACTTATAATGAGCTTTGGGATTTGCAATGAATATATGAACTTCCTGAAACAAGTTTAATAAAAAAAGCACCCAAAACCTTGTTGAAGTACCCCCACACTAACCACCAAATACATACACATAGAGAGTACCTTGCAAAAGTATTCACAATGTTTGAAGTTTTTTTTAAATGTCATCTTGTTTGCAATTTTCTATCAAAGATTGCCTCATGCTTTTTTTTTTTTTTTTTCTGAAAAAAATTGAAGATTTTAATCCAGTCCCATTACCTGTGAGAACTACATTCATAGCAAATGTTTGTTTTCAGATGAAGTTAAAAGTAATATATTTGGGGTCTAATGCACAGTTTGCCACAAGCTTTGTTCAAGAAGGTGCTTGGAGCAGATGGAGCCAAAACTGAACTGTTTGAACCAAATGTTAATGTTTCCTAATGGTGAAACTTCCCCATGGCAGCACTATGCTTAGGAGATGCTCTCTCTGCAGAAATAGGGACACTAGGAAGCTGGATGAACAACAGCAGAGCATAATCTGAGGGGAAAAAAGTATTAGATAAAGGAGAAAAAAAAAACAAAAAAAAAACTTAAGACTAAGTGAATGACTTCAGCAGGACAATGACCACAATGCAGCCCTTGAAATGGTTTAAATCGAAGGATATCTGTATCAAAATGGCCAAATCCAAAACTAGAACAGTTGTTGGTTAATTAACAAGTTGGTTACAATGTTTCTAAGCTTGAACTATGTGGCAAAAATTGTAAAGAAAGTTTAAGGCTCCTTATGTACAAAGGTTTTAGAAACATTCAGTAACTCAAACCTGTGCATGCAGACTGCGACATAGTATTAGCAAAAGGTGGACACACACACATTTTGTTTCTGAGTTTAGACCTGAATGTTCAACTTTAATCCCACGTTACCAGAGCAACCTCCTCCATGCCTTAGCAGTAGAGCCTCAAAGACTTATGGCAAACTGGATCTATTAGGGATTCTTTAAAATTAAATCAGATTGTGGAATAAATCTATTTAGAGGCATTTTGGTGAAGAGTTGAATATAAATGCTTATAAAACTTTGAAGATTTTTATTTGTAAAAGAAAAAAATGCATAATTTTTTTTGCTGCAACAAAATCATTTTGGTTCAGCCATTTTAAAAAACGCTAATAAAATATACTAGGGTTTTACCATGTAAGAGGAAAAAAAAGAAAAACTTCAGGCAAATGAATGCTTTTACAAGCAACTAAATAAACACTGAAATGTTTAATTTGGTTATTAGATTATTCATAGGTGCCTAATGTTTACAAAAGCTCTTTAGTGAAAATTATTTTTTTAAACCAAACAACAACATGTTGATCGATTAAGTATATTAAATCACTATCGTTGCACTGCTATTCTAACAAATATCACAAAGACATTCATTAATCCCCATCTGACAATTTTTTCAGCTACAACCAAAACTTTCAAACACAAACACAGTCAAACCTCCGTCGACAGCTAACATCCTATGTTAGAGAAGATCAGCAGGGCTAGGGGGACGCCACACAAGAAGACATGCTGGAGCTCACTTATCCTCCCAATCACCTAAAAAGAGCAGGCACAGGCATGACTCTTGCAGTGGGCAAGGGGACCAAACGTGCAGTGCGAACAATGTCAAACTGAGACACGGACAGGGCACAGGTACTGACAAGGACGGCAAACGGAGGCCGTCGGACATACGATGAGCTAACTGGCAAACCGGGAGACAGCGACACACACCAGCAGGAATCGGAGCCAGAGCCACACACATGTTAACTTACCACCATCACTCGTATCCACTCAAAGTGCCAGGAAGCCAATATATCCTCGAGGATATGGTTTTTATCATAGCTGTCCTCCCAGGGGCCTTGTTTAGGGTCCTTGTGGATAGATTAGAGGGACATTTTCTCTTTACAAGCCAAAGGAAATAAAATATTATCTTTAGACAATGTGGATATTGGGTCTTATGCACTGTTCGCACCAAATCCGATGGGGACAGTTCATCACAGGGCACAGATTTCGCCTTAATTTGCAGTATTATTCTTTGGTACTCACCTTTATTAGCCTTTAGTTCAAGAAAATTTGATGGGTAAAATTATACAGAAATATTATTCTTGTGCTATGCTTTAGAGAAAGACATATTTCCATGTGTTTTTACGCTTTTTTACACCGCTCAATGCATTTAGCTGGGATCTATGTGGCGGACCAGCACAAAGTAATGTGCAACTGTGAAGTGGGAGGGAGGGATTTATTCATTTACAAATGTTTTCACAAACTGTGGCATGCATTTGCATTCAGCAGCCATTAGTCGATAACACATATAGAGACTTTAGATGAAAAATGAAAATGCATTTATGTCTGGACTTAAACAAGACCATTTTATATTGTAATTTAGTTTTCATCCCATGCTTTTATTTTAGCTCTGGCTGTACCTTTAGTGTCATCCTGTTGAAAGCTGAAGATCCATCCAGTCTAAACTACAGTATTTTGCAGAGGTTTTCAATGAGGTTTACCTCGTTTGTTTGTTTTCTAGATCTTTAACCAAAAGCAGCCAAGAAAACCATCCTAACAGACCAGACCACGTCCTTTTATGTTACCTAAATTTTCTTCCAAACTGCTGACAGGATTTCATTTTTTTCTTTATTCCAGCAATGATTCTCTTCTTGCCGCTCTTCAGTAAGAATTGTGCAATGCACCAGTTAGATGTCCTGTTGTCAGTTTCTTTAACCTGAGCATTATAGCCTTGCAGCTCCTCCTAAGACTGAGCCTGTCAAATTAGTGCAACTTTGTCTTAATAGGCTTGCAATAATACCACATCCATTCTATTTTCATTGAACAAAGCCCTGTGAGATATCAAATTTGAAGTTGTTTTTATAACCTGAGCCTTGCTTCAACCTTCTCCACAGTGCTATCCCACAACCATCTGGTATGTTCCTCAGTTTAAATACAGCAGTTTGTTAACTACAGTAATTTTCTCTAAAAAAAACATCTCAATTTATCACAAAGCAGCTGGATTTAAACTTTGATTAGATTATCCAGAAGTAGACTGCATATACTTAGTAGCTGATTTCTGAGGACAGCTGGTCACAATGGATTCTATTCAGTGATATTAGAGTAAGGGGGCCCAAACGTATATAAGACTTCTTATACTTATTTCTAAATTGTTGAGAACAATAATTTACTTCCTCCCTGTTTTAGAAATAGTGTTGAATTAATCAATCCCATTAAGTCAAATCAAATAGAATGATAGAATTGTTTCGTGACAAAAATGGGAAAGAGTTCATGATAATATATTAAAGGGAATATGTGTTTATTGGTAAAGAAAAGAATAAGCGAAAGCATTACCCAAAGCTCCACTTTAGTTAATGTTCATGTGGAATTACTTTTGCACAGTAAAAGAGGACAAAAGTATTTACAAAAGCATTCAGAAAGTGGTGTAAAGAATACTGAAATTCAGAATGAAGACGCAATCACAGAAAGTCAAAGAGAAAAACAGAGATACTGTATGTAAAGATAGAGAGCAATGATGCATGTGCTCAGTAAAATAAAAGATAAAACATTTAAGTGTGTTTTGCATATTGAGACAATGCATTTCTGCACTCCTTTTACCTTATCTTCTTGCTTTTATTCTTTGCTCTATTAGCCAAACATGATTAAAATGCAATTCCAACCAGCATCTCTGCTGAGCAGCAGAAAAAGAGAGTGCGAGATGGGAAGAAAAGTGGAGCCGATAAGTCAAAGCATCTTTTACAGCATAGTGCTTTTCATCCTTCACTGGAGGCATGAAGAAAACAACACAGACATTCAACTTTTTATCTACCCTTCTTCCTCAGCAGTTAAGCCTCCCAGGATACCTGAGGACAACCCCATTGAATCACTAGTTCAATAGCCTCACCAAAACAACATTTCAGTCACGTTTTTTTATTCTATTGCTACAATTCCCAGTGCTCTCCTTAGTCCAATTACATTATGCCATGTCCCTGTCTCAGCAATCTGCACGCTGCCGTGACTGGGAGTGAGAGAGGAGCTCTGGGCTTTGGAAGGTGCTTCACTGCTCCTACAGATGGGTCTGAAACTTGTTTAAATGTATCCACATTGCTCTCAATTTAAGAGAGAGGGAACTTATACATTAACTCGATCATAAGGCAAACGCTTCATGTGCATTGAAGTCAATTAGAGATTGAATGTCAAAACCAAAAGGTGTGCTCAAATGTTTCACTGCAAACGGCAGCAAATATATGAACAAGATCAACTATTCAAAAAAAGAAGATTAAAACAACTTTGTTTTCCAAGTTTCAAGACGTTTCGTTTTCCATCCAGAAAGCTTTCTCAATTCAAAATTTCTGGAGTAGCGTTGAGTTCCAGGCTTTATAGAGCCTTGTTATGGCTTAGAAAACATGCAAATTGAACCGTAACAGTAACACCCTTAGTAATGGGGAGTCGTTGAGGTTGTTGCTGGCCTGCAAATTAACCCGAAACTGGCCCTTGCCTCTGTACCGGGGAGTTGTTAGGGTTGTTGTTGGCCTGGCTTAAAAGGGGCACTTTTTTTATCCCCTGCATGGCGATGAGGATATGTGGGATAGAGATGATAGTGGGAAAGAACCATCTCTAATGCTGTGTTATATGTTTTCAAAGCTGAAACCAGAGTCCTTGTGCTTCATTTAAGGTTGTTGTTTCTCTCTTTACGTAAATGACTTCCTTCAAACCCTTTTCAAACCACCTGTCTTCTTTGTCCAAAATGTGGACATTCTGGTTCTAAAATGAGTGTCCTTTGCCCTTAAGGTGTCGGTGGACAGCAGAGTCTTGTCCAGAGGATGTAGCTCACCTGTGTTGAGTCATGCGTTTGTGGAGAGGTTGTTTGGTTTCTCCAATATAAAGATCAGAGCATTTCTTACTGCACTGAACTGTTTACTCCCCACCACTCATCTTAGGTTCGGGGGTTTTATATTTACGATGCACTAGTCTCTGTTTAAGGGTCTAGTTTGGTTTGAAATGTACTGGGATTTTGTGTTTGGAGAAAATCCTCTTGAGGTTTTCAGAGACTTCAGCAACATATGGGTTGGCAATGTTTTTGCATTTAATCTTCTCACTGTTATGTTCTGCTGCATGTCATTTGGATTTCCTTGCTGATTTGACAAACGCCCAGTTTGGGTATCCACAGATTTGGAGAGCATCTTTGATGCGTTTCTGTTCTTTGTGCCTCTTTTTTGTTTTAGTAGGGACATGCTTGGCTTGGTGTTGTAAGGTTCTGATGACAGAAAGTTTTGGTTCCAGTGGGTGGTGTGAGTAAAAGAGAATATATTGGTCTATGAGAGTGGATTTCCTATGCTCTTCAACGTTGAGGTTTCCATCTCCTTCCATGCTCACCAAACAGAAAAGGTAGCTTGTTGTCGTTGCTTTCCTCTCTGGTGAACTTGATGTTGTATTCCACCGAGTTGATGTGTCTTGTGAAAGCTTTCACTTCTTTTAACTGGATTTTGACGAATGTGTCAAAATAAACTAGTTATGTGACTTGCAACCAACATGTTATCTATTTAGGGAAGAAGCTATTCAAAAACTAGAACTAGCTATGCTTTGATTGCAATAACCGTTGTCAAACCTTTGAGATGTCTGGACAAAAAATCTCCCACATGAGATATAAAATACATTTTTCCACTCTTATTTATAGAAATGTTTTAATCAATCTCACTGAAGGGTTTTTGAGCATAAATCATCTGTAAAATGCCAAACAGCATCTGAATGGAATTTAAATTCAAGCTTTCACTCATGTATGCTTGTATGTTTTGTTGCTGTTCTTCTTTTTTCAACCAGTGACTGGTGGACCCACTGTTTTGCTTTGAATCCTTGTCCTGTTAAATAACTGACAATAACAGGATGGTTTTTCAAAAGCATTGGATATATTGCAAATGTAAGACAGGCCCTTTTGTTCTGATAGCCAGCAGTGGTTTTTGGTCTTGGAAGACTCACAATGATGAATGCTTTGCCCAGTTTTTTATTGTTTATTGCTGAGCAACAATAACTGAGGCGAGTGAGGCCTGTAGAGATGTTCTTCTGTGTTCGTCTTGGTGACTCAACAATTCATTATTGGACAAGATTTGGTTCTACTGTGGTTTATTGGAGCCATAAAGCCTGAAAAATGTCATTGTCAACTTTTTCCATATTGATTAAAGTCCATGATTTAGTTTGTCAGCTGTTCTCAGATGTCTTTTGATTTAGTGACATTGGTTGGTTTTTGGGAACAACTCGTTTTCAAACAGGTTCTCTTTAAATTATTTCTTGATTCTACACGTCAGGCACGAACCAGGCCTTGATGCGGCTACTGATATTGTTTCACTTTGCAGCTTCTGTTGTTACTGTATTTAAGCACCAGTACAATAGTAGCCATTCAAAATCTCCCCATCCTCCTTGATGGGCCCCTGGCTGGTTCTTGGCTGGTCCCCTACAGTTCCTTTTTGAACATCAATATTTGTACTAAAATATTCTTCTTGTCATGATTTGTGGACATTAAGATCTAAAGAGAAGCATCATCTCCTGGTCAGACCCTGTAATTAAGTTAAAGGGTGAAGTCAGAGTAAAAATATATGCAAGAGGGGGTCACTTCGGTGGCAGGAAGTTGGAGGGGACTTTGCTGGGAGTTGGAGGGAAGTGGGCTGCCATTCGGGTTGCTTTTGACTGGGAAGGGCCATTTTGAATGGGAGAACCTCACAGTGGTGGCAATCAGTGGGTAATATCATAATTTGATGTAATAGAGATTCTGGCTGTAGGCTGACGGTTAGACAGTTTGTTATACTGTAATGCATCACAAAAGCTTACCAGTTATTCCTGCAAACAGTTTTTTTTTAAGCTGAAAGGAAATCAAACTTAAACCTCCGCAGATACGCAGAGGTCCACCTGCAATCACTGCATACCTAGGCATTTTGCCAAAGTGCAATAAGAAAAGTGTACGTCTGTGTTCAGTGAATGTGCTAACGTTACAAAAATATGCTAATTTATGCTGTAAGCAGTAGTGTTCTTAATATCTCAAAAAGGTTAAGCCAACAGGATATTCTAAGTGTCTTAAGGATTCCCCCCCCTACAAAGGTTTAGGAGTAAAGAGTCTTCTATTTTCACTGTGGGGACAAATTTAGCAGGAAATGGGAGAGGAAGGCAGCTTTTCTGTAGATACATGTGTGTGAGAGAGATATTGATAGATATACACACTGGAAAAAAAGAGAGAGGCGGTGCACTAGGCAGTAAGCCCCTGAGCAGGACATGATTGCACTGTGTATCTTATCTGTGTCAGGTCCTCCTGAGGCTAGTGGAGCCTAGCTGAGCAGAGCACAAGCGCTTCAGTGACCAGTCAACCGTGCGAGGGTAATCTCCTCGCTCCTTCACTCCCTGTCTCTGTCTCTCATTCAATCTATCTCTCCCCATTTTCTAAGTAAGCCCCCCTGTGGGAGGAAGCTGAGCTGCACATGCATGTTAGACACACACCCCCACACACATCCACACACACACATAGCCTAAAGGTGATTGCATCCAGCCAGCTCTGGACATCAAGCCTACAGGTGAGAGTAGACATCATGGTTTAGATTACACAGGGACTGTAGCCAGCAGGCTGTAAATATACGAATAAGAGCTATACACTTCAATCTAACTCAAAGGTTTTTTTCAACATGGAGTTTTTGACATGTTTAAATATGTTTATTTAAACATGTTTACATGTTTAAATACAACCCAGTTCAGATCTGTTGTTACGCTGCCTTTTAAAAGTAATCACAATGCAATAAACTTCATCACAGCCTGATGGGATTTAATGTAACACTGAGGCACCAGCTAGTGCAAAATGTGAAACATTTGAAAGGGTAAAGTCGAAGTATACTTCTTTAGTGCTTTTAAAGCTATTTAGTGTAATTTCAGAACTTATTTAACCCGGCGTTAATAGATGTTTCAAATCAATCAGCGATCCCAGCTGTAAGTCCGCTTTCGTATGAACCTACAGCGGGAAATAAGGCAGGAGAAGCGATAAGACAAATTTGTTGGCGTCTGCCACTCTTTCACCCTTTGTGCGCCTGCCCTCTAGGCTTTAACAACTCAGCCTTCCCAATCAATTAGCTGACATGCTGGACTTTCATTGAGATTAAGTGACTAATATCAGCGCTCACTCACGAGAAAGACACTTTTCACGTCTGCCCAACAATCTGCTAAGTCAAAACACATGCGGCAGACTAAGGCACAAAGTCTGCAAGGGGTCCACTCTGCAATGAAAAACAGGTGCTCTACTTTTTGGCCATGTAATACCCCATTTAGCCTTTAGAGCAAAGGTTATCCCGCTAATAGCTGCCTTGTGGTGCACTGGGAAGAGCTATCCGCATGGCCGCAGTGAACATCTGGGACAGATTGTACATACTTGCAACATATGCTTCAAGTTCAATTAAAATGAGGCCTTGGCACATTTATTAATCCCCCCCCCCCTCTCTGCTGCTCTCTCTGCTCTTCGAGGTCTCTCCTATAGGTCTGTGCCATAAAAGAGGCCTCCTTTGACCCGTCCTGCATACTTACTCATACCATCTGAAGCTGTAGCTCACACTCAGTACAAAAGATAGGTTTGCTGGGCTCTGAAACTGCTATTTGTTCTGCACTTAACCAGGCTGGAGGTTGAGCAAAGGGAAGAGAGAGAATCTGTGTCAAAAGAAAAAGGCAGAAGAGGAGGCGAGTAAAGGAGGAGTAAGAGGAGAGTATGAGGGTGGAGAGATGTATGCACAGAAAAAAAGTAAAATGTCCCCCTTTCAACTTCGTTGCAGCTTCAATCAAATGCTAACAGTGGAGGAAAGAGATAGATCAAAATGTATGAAGCCAGGGTTGGTAAATTGTAGCTTTTGTGACAGCTGTGCTATCCTGCACCCCCAGCCCTCTGCGAAGAGAGAGCAGGACTCTTTTTATTTGGAATAATCAGTTTGGGACCAAATCTGAATGCAGCCACACTAGTTGCCTCTGTGCCTCATTTCAATATAAAAGTCATAAAAATCATTTTTATATAATCTGTAGCTTTCAAAATGCCTATATTTTCATTTCTAACCTTGGGAGGAGGGAGGGAATGCAACAAAGTAGAAGAGATGTAAAGAAGTGGTTAAAGAAATGAAAAAGGTTCAAGGTTGACTGGTGCTTATCTTCTGTTTGGAGCTTTACCTTTCTCACCCCCCGCCCTCGCCACATCACAGCCTCTGAACTTCACAATCATGAAACTTTTCTTGTGTATCACACTGGGAGAGGATGTAATATTCACATATCTTTTGTGTTCCTCACCGAACTGGCATCCAGGCTGACTAACTAGTGGAATGACTATTTGACCATCTGCACTATTAATGGGTTTTTACATTTTCTTTCAGTACTTCTTACTGCTAAAGGATAGGTTGCCTTACTTTACCTACACTCTTATATGTGAAAAACACACAAAATATTTTAGCAGAACATTATCTCTCAATTTTATTCCCTGTAAATTCAGTTAAGCCTTATGTCTTTCATCACGAACTGGTTACGGTGCCTTGGAAAAATACCACAAACTTTCAAATCATTATTGGAACACAGACAACCTGAATTCACAGATCCTCACAGCTATATAAGGTGGTGGTAGTATTGCGCTGTGGGGGAGCTAAATATAACCATGCAAAGGGAAGAGCAACAAGAAGAAATCTGTTGTTAAATAAAGCTGTGAAAAGTCAGATTGATCCTTGCGAAGAAACAATTAATTGGAATCAGCCTATGTGCTTAGTATCACTCCTTATGTCCATTAAACACAAAAAAGAATTAAGCAACATGATCCTATTATGAAGAAATGTTAAAATTATGAAGTAGCACAGGTGACAAGGATGACGGCACCCTAGAGACTTGAGCTTATAACCAAAGATGAATCTTCATAATTAGAGGAAACATATCAAAAGATAATCAGCAATTATATGATGAGTTTGTACTGTATATGGGCATCATCATCTGATAAGTTTGTGTAATTATGGATAACAAACTATGTTTTGTTCCACTTCACAATTTTGAGGTACTTTGTGTAGTTCTATTGCATTAAACTGCATAAAAAAATGGAGGAGTTCATATTAAAGGACAAAATTGGAAGAAAAAAATGTGAAGGGGGAAGCATTATTTTGCAGAGCCCTGTTCTCCTCAAAATTAGAAAACTAATTAAGAGAGACTTAAACCTCAAGAAACCCTTCGATGCAGCTGTGGGTTCAGATTTCCATGGATACATCTCATCCTAGTACCAAAATTAAATAAAAAAACTAAACCAGACGTGACTTACAAACCAGGAATGCAAACACAGAAAACAGGAGCGAGTGGTTAAAACAACAGATTTTAGGGAGAATAAAACTCCCAAAAGGAGCATTTGTTTAGGTCCCATCCAGTGGCATTTGTTTCAGTAGCTTTTCCTTCAGTGTAACGAGCCGAGGCCGTAAAGTAGCCACCTGTTGTTACCTGATACTGTCTGGACAAGGACAGATGCTGTTTTACGGCAACATAAAGGCACAGAGGACGGACCTAAACGGCAAACTAAGCACTTTAAATAGGTACATGTTCCCGGAAAGAAGAGAGTGAAGCCCGATATTAATAAATGCAAATTCAGCTCAGGGATAGTGTAGCAAATAACGGAGAAGACCAAAATAAAATAATCTACAAAGTGGAAAGCTAAGGAATGTGCCCCGCATTTACGTACAGAGAAAACTTTAAAAAAGGTTAAAAGGTTGTACAATCTGTGAACATGTGTTTGTGCCTCAGGCGGTGAGAATAACTGAACAGGGGGAGGAGGAGGGAGGGGAAAAGCAGTCATTTTGTTAGTCTGTTTGTGTTTCTGGTCTGTGAAGCAGTGTCAACCCCTCCTGAGGCGATGTGTGTGAGCGTGCATGTGTGTGTGTGTGTGTGCGTGTGTGTATTCCAGACATGAGACATAATTACCTTGTCATCTTTGTCAAAATCCTCATCCTCGTCTTCCAGCAGGTCCTCCACAGCTTGCTGACGAACGCAGCGGAATGAGAAAAAAACAAGGAAAAAGAAACATGGAAAACATTAGATAAATATCATCTATACACAATCTGGACGGCCAAAGAGGCACATTAAAGCTGATTGGTTATGCTTATGGCTGCCTAGAGTTTGTTAATGAGTATGAAGGCCCTGCAGATAGCACAACTATTGGATTTCTGGGTGCTGAAAAGTCATCAGTCTTCAGATTGGTTCAGAAGTAGAAATTTAATTTCAGAACCATTCTGTTGTTCAAACATGTTGACACTTCTGGAAGTGCAAGCAAATGCTCCGACTTTGAATTTCAAAGGCCTGAGATTAAAGTCTATTAATCTACTTAAATTGCATTGCAATATAAAATGAAAACATTTATAGATGTTACAAAATTTAACTTGGAGGGACTAAAAAAATCCTCTACTGACCTCTTTAACCTTTTACATTGATCCACACACTCTACCATCAGTTTTTATACTTCAGCACAAATTCACTACCCCTGGTGCTCTCATACAAAGATGCTCCTTGAGAGAAAAGAATGAAAAAAAAAAGAGCTTAAGCCCAGAGAGAAAGTCACAAAGAATGGCAACTATTTGCTTCAGTGAAGCACGACTGATAAAACTGGAGCTGGTGTTGCTCTGAAGCCCCAAGACACCATGAGACATACTGTACAACAAGAAGAAAAATGACTTGCCTTAAAACACAATCATGCGCACGAATTCAGAACAACAACCGCTGTGCAGCAGAACATTGGTATATGGAAGTTATTATGCAGCAGAAGTTTTACATTCAAATTAAGAGGCATTTTAAATGAAATACATGAAGACATTATATATTGTTTAGATACGTGCTCAGGAGTTAGCAACAAGCTAACAAGACCTGATGAACAGAGTCACAATATTTTCAGCTTCACTGGCTCTGCTTGTTGATGTGCTTAGAAACTAAAAAGAAAATCTAATCTTGACCAGTGAAGGCAGAAAACATAGGAACTAGTGGGTTGCTAAACCACAACACCCGTTGGTGTGGAAGTCAGGAAAAAGGCGAAAGGCTAGCAGGCTTTATTTTAAACAAAAACAATCGAAACATGCCTCGGAATGCTGTTGTAAAGGAAACCGTTTTCTGTGGAGACATGTTGGCTATTCTTTCAACCCTGCAGAACAGCTACACTTCAGAGGATGCCTGTCATTCTGGCTCTGGGATGTTTCATCCTCTCGCTGCATTGCTCGTTTCACACTTCACTTTTCCAGGTGTAAAAAGGACTCAGGATACTCCACTCAGGATATTGATGAAAGTGCTAATTGAAATGAGGAAAGCTAAACATAATTCTTTAAGATTTTAATTCGTGTTATAGAGCATGCAGGACATTCTAAATATTTGGAGCCTTTCGGATGTAATATAGTCAACACTGCATGAGTATGGAGATATAGCCTAAACTAGAGCAGGCAGCCAAAGATTCAAAAAATGAGAGATTTGAACCTCTGATAAGGGAATCTTGAGCCATAATATTTCAGTCCTCCTGGTTTATTATCCTGATTAGTGTTTAAAGGTACAAACAACTTCTTTTCTAACAACTTTCTTTGTTAGAATTAATAAACGTCAGTGGTCTGAAAATCAGAAGTCCTTTCTAAACTGTATCACCCTCTTTCTGTCAATCAAACCTTACAGTTACCAGGCCACAGTTTCGATTCACGTTTAGACAAATAAACACTGATTTTCTGAGCCAAACATAGTGGTCAACCCCAGAATTTATCTGCTCTCTGCCAAGAGTTGTATTACCCAGTCCCAACCTCTGTGTAAACTTTCATCAGGCCCCGACTTCACCCTCCCCACCTCCACATACAGCAAAAACTACTTTGGAGTCATCCAAAAATCATTACTTAACAAGACAATGGCCTTTGTCCTTTTTTGTTTTTCACTGGAATACAGGGGGAAACTGTGCGGCGGCTGACATAAGCCTCTTATGTAAATGCAGCTTCCCACACAAACAAAGAGGAGTTCGGAACAGCAGAGATGAGAGGGTAGAATCAATAGCGTGAGTGTTTTTGAGTGTGTTCTATCAATAGCTGTGGGTAAAGAGTCATGCATTTATGTACAAAACTTCACATTTTTTAATGACAGAAGAGGAAGTGGTTGCTCCAGCTTTGGTGCGAACTGTGAACACCATCCTCCAGAAAAATAAGCACTAGCTGTTCACATCTGACAGTCTCTTTATTGATACAGAATACACCCAGCACCATATTATCCCAACACCAGAAAAGGAATTCTTACACTCGGCAAAGAAGAAAGATGTTTACGCGACTCTGTAAAATGAAAGCCTTGTGGCATTTCCAAACAAATGAACTATAACTGTTTAAAAAGACATCACAATCCCTCTCAAATCCATTCATGCATGCCAACATGGCAACAGAATAGAGTCCTCCACATAGAGGGTTTACCAGGGCACGCCTGGCACATGCTCCCAACTTTAAACAAAGGAATAAGCGTGAGCTAGCTGGAGAAGCATGACCTACAGAGACAGAGAGAATGATAGAGTCGTTTGTCTCCCTCTGCTCTCTGCTCTGCTCACTCCCTTCTATTGCCTCTGGTTACAGATAGAAGTCATGTTTCCTGCAATGAGACACAGTGTAAAATTAATAAATAAAATGACATGGAGCATGTCATCTGCCCTGAAGATTGTCACGGCTAAATACGCACTCTGGAGTTTCAGTAAGGGAGGATATAAATTACCTCTGCAATGCCGATGAATTTCAAATATCTTTTATTCGCTCTCTGCATTCCTCTCTTCTTCTGTTTCCCTCATTTTCTCCTGTTTCTAAAACCTGTTTGGTGTATTGTATCATTTGCCTGCTTATCCTCCATTATAATGTTGTTTGAATAACTATCATTACAGCGCAGCAGCGGCAAACAGCCTCACTGTCTAAAGGATTGCATTGCCTGCAGAGCTGCTCCAGTCAGTTTGATATAGACTGAGTCGGAGATTACCATATTCAGACCAATACAAATGACACAAGGTTGATGCTGGGTATTACACTGTGCTCCATAAATACAAAGATTAGATGCTGTTAATGTTAGTGAATACACTGACATTGAGAATTTTAAGTTCTCTAAAAATGTAAAAGTATCTATCTGGTCCTGGGTTAGACCAAAAAAGCTGATTTGGTGTACATGTTCCATGCAGCATGGCGGAAATTTGATTCTTTATTCACTGCATCCCCTGTCTCTAGGTACCTGCTTGCATGCCTACAACATTGCAGAGGCCCTCCTAGAATGTTTTCAAGGACAGAGGGCATTAGCTTTAGGTTTTACAAGGTTATTATACATAATATACTACCATTTTATGCTTGCAGAATATGTACCTAAGTATTGTGATGGACTTTTAACACTTCGGTGCATAAAAACAACAAACTTCACTATTTTTACAGTTATCAATAATGAAGTTGAGGAACAAAATCATAGTTTCCACCTTTTCACTAATAAAAACCTGAAAAACCCTCACTCAATGCTTTATAGAACCATCTCTCTTAGCATTGGCAGTATGGTTTGCTTTAGCCATTCCACTGTAGGACTATTTCTGTGTTTACGGTCATTCACCAATCATGATACTGCTAGTTGCTCCTCCACCTACGCCTTGGATGGAATCCTCAGTAAGAACACTATGGTGGGTAGGAAAGGAACTCTAGCTGTGACACCTCCAGACAGCCTTTAGCCTTTCCGACATTATTATGCAATAGAAACACACGTGGATGATTAATGTGTAATTTGGGATTAGAGCCTTGTGAAAAGGAACTACAGAAAACACAAGTTACACGGTTTTATCGGCTGAAACTCTGCTGACATTTTCATCTGTGACACATAGTCTAGTCACACAGATAGAAATAATGTATTACGTAACTCTATTTGTTCTGTCACAGAGGATTGCGATATTCAATGTGATTCTTTAACACCAGATCGAAATGGCAGGAAGTCCCTATGCTAAAGGAACTATGATAGGAGGTATATAGCCTCCTTCTTTACTGCCACATAAGATATCACCTTATAAACTCATCTTGCTTTAAAGTTCTCCATAACATTATCCCTGAGGTGTCTGCTTGGTTCCCGAGTCTCTGATGGCCTCTTTCTTTACATCTTCTCTAACAAACCATTGAATCCTTTAGAGAACATCTGTATTTATACTGAGATTAAATTACACACAGACCGAATATCTACTGATTCAGTAAATAGAGATAAGAAAACCCACATACATGTAAGTAAAAAAAAAAAAAAAAACCCAATAAGGAAACACAACTCCGTCTTCACAAGCTCAATTTCTTCAAATCTAAACTGAGAATAACCTGTCTGGATCAATGAACCAAGTGCTTATATCAGCTCAGGAGAGGGAAAGAAAAATTCTACAACCTGAACCAGTAACAACATCATTTTCACCCTTCCTCAGAAATACCTCTGAGCTCACACCTCTTTCTCCTCCCTGGCCAGACTGAGTTCCACTCTTTCCCCTCCTCACCTTCTCAATGACAGCCACAGGGGGAATTGACGCAGAGGCAGACGACCAGGTGAAAACGAAGATATACTTTTCCCTTCTTTTTTTCACCCCATTCCTATATCCCTCCTTCCTTCCGTCCTCCTGCTGTTTTTCCTCTTTGATATGTGAGGGGGTTTTAACCTCTCCAGCTGCTGAGGCTTTGCGTGGTGGCTGGCTGGGGGATCTCAAGGCCCTATTTGGTATGCACTGTCCATGAGTGTTTATACGTGTGTATGTGTGTTGCCTGCACTACAGTATCTGCAGACTAGTGGAGGGCTGTGCGTCTGATAAGACTGAGCCAGGCTGACTCACATGGGGGGCTTCACAAGCTGTCAGAGGCATGGCCCTCAGAGGGGGGCCCTTCCTTCTGCACTGCCCTAGCCAGGGCTCACCCGGTAGGGGGCTAGATAGGGTTGAGGCTGTGGTGCTACTGGAGCTGCAGGCTGCTGGTAGGGGGTAATAAGGGTAGCTGTATATTCAG